TGCCAACTGCTCCCATAAAGGTTGGCAGTCTCGGATGCCCTGAGGAGCAGCTGTCCTATGTTCCGTGGGGCTCTGTGGATTGGAATTGACTCCACGGCAGTGGGCGTTTTAGTGTGTCATTGCAAGCCAACCTCAGGCAGGTGGGTGGTTGGTGTCTGGGACAACTCCCAGAGTGCAGGACCCACAGGGTTATGGGCCCATGGGCTTTGGTATGCCGTGCAGTCTGGGGTGAGAAGGTGCAGCCTGCTGTGGTAGCGCTGTCTTTAGTTCCTGCTGGACAGGGCGGGGAGAGGAGGGCCCTCCGCAGAGCATCGCTGCAGGGGGTTGGCAGGGCCTTGTCACTGGAGTCCAGGAGGGCAGGAGAGAGTTCTCTGAGTAGGTCCCTAATATGCACGTCGGTGATACTGGGGTGCAGGCTCTCCATCACCACTGAGGAGGGGGATCAGGGGAGCTCCATGCAGGGTCCCATCATTTTGTATGGGGTGGGATGCCCTCCATCTGGGTGCCATCATTCATGTGGGGGGAAACAGCGGTTGCCGTGGTGACTTGGGACCTACAGCCAGTAGCTGCTTCCAGGCTGTTCCTCCTTAGCGCCTTCACACCAGGGGGAATCCTGGAATGATCATCTGGGTTCCCTCACCCTGATCGTAGGGGTGCAGGCACTGTTGTGATGAGAGCTTGTAGTAAATTTGCAAATAAGCATTTTATAGCTCTCTTAAATATACTGCATAAAACAAACTGCACCGAACCAAACCTTTTTGTGTGCTGTTGCTACATGGAATCAGAACCTTTAGAAGCCAAGGATAGCTCCGTATGGTGCCCACAGCCCTCCACTGTTTGCTGCGTGCTTTTACCTAAAACCATTTCTAGGTGCCCTTCCCTGCCAGACAGCTGGCCTGGCCCTTCTCACACCTGCCCTGGTGCAGAACCACTCCCGACTGTGTGGCTGCTGGACGCTGTGTGGAGAGCCGTGGCCACCAGACCTCTGTGAGAGGCGTTGGACGCCAAATCAATTACATTCCCTTAAACACGTTAAACTCAGTTCACAAACGCAGTATGGTTTATTTTCTTTTCACATAATTGGCATGTCTCCGATAAGCAAAAGTATCCCAACTACCCGAAATACACAAATCTAGTAAACAGATGCAGTAAAATTCTAGTTCTTTTAACCTTCTAACACTCTTACCATGCTTGTTTTAGTTTTTATTGTGGATCCGGTGAAGGTTTACAGAGCTGATCAGTTTTTTACTTGAGAACTCACACACATTTTGTTTAGTTTTTATTGTGGACCGGGTGAAGGTTTATAGAGCAGATCAGAAGTCACACACATTTTGTTTCCTCCCACTTCCTCCTTAAGCGGCCTGTTTCCATGCCTCCTCCTTCCCTAGTCCTCCTGAACTTTGTCCCAGCGTAGATCCTGCTCTTTTAATCTCAGATGGTTGATTATTCTCTGGTGTACGTCATCACTAGTGTTATTGAGCCCTGGTGTGGTGCTATAGGATAAGCACTGGACTGGTACCACACATTCAGCAGTTCAAACCCACCAGCCGCTTCAGGTTTGCTATGAGTCAGAACCAGCTTGATGGCACATAACAACCACATATCTCTTCCTATAGAGCTGTCTTTAGTTGGGCTGAAAACTGAGCCACGGGGTGAGTGCCTTTCCAGACCAGGAGGGTGACTAAAGGCCATGACCTCCAAGCTTCCACCAGTCTGTCCAGCCAGTAAGCCTGGGCTTTTTTTTTTTGCAATTTTGAGTTTTGTGCCACATTTTCTCCCACTCTGATCAGAAATTTCTAATGTGAACCCTTTCAGAGCAGCAGAGCAGTCGGTGGTGATAGATCTTAGGGTTGTGGAGACTGAGGTTCACGTGATGGTTAGTCCATTAGACTATTTCCATGCATCTTCTGTTTTCTTCACTTTTCTTTTCTCTGGGGAGAGGGTAATAGTTGTGCGCCAGATAGCCACTCATGGGCTGATTTCCAGCGCCTCGTTAATACATACTCAGGTAGGATGCAGAGCACTGTCTTTGTGGACTGTCATTGCAATTGACCTTGGTGTTCCTGAGACTATGGTGCCGAACCCTCAAGATGTTTGGTTATGGCCAAGAAGTTTTTATAACTTTGCCCCCTATATACTCCATGACATTCATGGGTACATTTGTAGCAAAAGTAAATTCATATGTACAAATGTTCTCTGTCAAACCTGTGTGTGTGTGTGTGTGTGTGTGTGTGTGTTTGTATTTGAGGGTATGCGTCCACTCTCCCTCCCAAACCCATTCGTCTGCATGTGTTTCTGGGTTTCTGCTCTAGATTGGAGTCCTGGTAGAGTGCTGTAAGGTCGGTAGTTCAAGCTCACCACCTGCTCCTCGGAAAGCTTGCTGTGGATTAGCACTGACTCGATGGCACTTAACAACAGCAACTCTAGACTACTGTTACTGCTGGCTTGTGTGTCTAACAGTATCTCTGTTTCCTTTAAGCCTTGTGCTCCTCCAGGGTCTCTCCTTCTGCTTCTGTTGTATTTTGCTGACCTCCCTTACTGCTCATCGCCCTCTCCTCATCCGTTAATTTACGTTCCCTTTCTCTTCCACTGCTGCTAACTATCAAAGGAACTTTCTTTTAGGATGAACATCTTTCCTTGACCTTTTACAATAGCAGTCTCATACAATATTTGTATGATTTGAGATTGGCTTATTTCACCCGCCATAAAGCCTCCAGGCTCATCTGTGCTATGAGGTGATTCACAGATTCACTGTTATTCCTTAATGTCAGGCAGAATTCCATGTGCGGGCACATACCTGGTTTGTTGATTCTTCCTTCCATTGGTAGGCAGTTAAATTGTCTCCTTCACTTTGCTTTTGTGAGTAGAGCTGTGATGAACATGAGTTCATGTATCTATTTGTGTTACGATGGATACCACATACACGGCTTGCTGTGTTGTATATTTTTATTTACAATGGTTTAAAGAAACTGTTATTTTTTTACCATTTTCCACAGTGGTTGCACCATTTTACAATCCTGTTAGCTGTGTAGAGTCCTGGTGTGGCGCTGTAGGATAAGCTCTGGACCACAGGGTTGGTTTGAATCGTAAGGTTGGTAGTTCAAACTCACCAGCCACTCTTTGGAAACCCTATATAGGGTCGCTATGAGTCAGAGCCGGGACTTAACAACAACAACCACAACCGGCAGCCTATGAGGGTTACAGTCTCTCCATATTCTCGCCATCTTGTATTGTTTTCTTTTTGCTGTTAATAATGGGGTGAGATGATATTTCATTGTAATTTCTATTTGCAGCTCTCTGTGAGTTAGAACCGGCTCAACAGCACCTAACAACAACAACAATGGCTAATGTCAGGAGAGGGATGAGACTTTCTGCTTCCCCCCAAATTTAAAGCATCAGAAACCCTAGATAGGGTTGTTATGAGTGGACACTGGCTCTGTGGCACTTAACAACTTAACAACAACAACAACAGTGGCTAATGATTGAGAACATTTCTTCATGTTTGTTGATTAGCTGAATGTTTTCTTTGACAAAGTGCCTGTATATGTTTTTCCCATTTAAAGTTGGATTATGTATCTTTTCTTGTTGAGGTGTTAAGTTTTCGATTTATTTTAGAGATTAATTCCTTGTCTTGATGGGTCATTGCAAATTTTTTTCCCTAGTGTGTGGGTTCTCTTTTTATAATTTTTTGTTGAAATCTTTTGATGCACATAAGTCTCTTAATTTTTAGGAGCTCCCAGACATCTAATTTGTCTTCTGTTGTTTGCGTGTTTTCCTTTATTTTTGCTAGTGCCCTCGGAAACCCTGTACAGGGTCGCTATGGGTCGGACCCGACTCGATGGCACTTAACAAGTGTATTTATGCCATGTACTAGGGCCCCTAAATTTGATCCTATTTTTGCATTGCTGGTGATTATGTGCTGTGGAGTCTGTTCCGACTCATATTGACCCTGTATATGGTTTCTAATGGAGCTCTGGTAGCATAGTGGTTACGAATCGGGCTGTGACCCGCAAGGTCAGCGGTTCGAAACTACCAGCTGTTCCACGGGAGAAAGATGAGGCGATCTGCTCCCGTAAAGATTTACAGCCTCGGAAACCCTGTTCAGGGTCGCTATGGGTCGAAACCGACTCGACGGCACTTAACAACAACATATGGTTTCTAAGGCTGTAAATCATTATAGGAGCAGAAAGCCTAATCTTTCTCCTTTGGAATAACTGGTAGTTTTGAACTGCTGACCTTGAGGTTAGCAGCCCGATTCATAACCACTACGCTACCAGAGCTCTGTATTTTTGCATTTAGTTCTTTGATCCATCTTGAGTTCATTTTTGTATGTGGTGTGAGAATGTAGATAGACACTGTTTCAACTCTTAGCATGTTTCTTAAAATTCTTTCAAATTCACATAAAAAATAGCACATGTCCAACTTTAAGTTAGCCGGTTACACACTTCCATGTGGAGCCAGAAGGGATAATGTTACCTTTAGCATTCCAAGTTGCCCTAGCTGTTTTTTTTAGATAAAAGCATGGTTTGTTCCTACAATTAACTCAGTAACCGTGGGTTTGACACACTCTATTGTGTGAATTCCCAGGGTTAGCACACCTTCATGAGACCCTGTGAAGACTGGTAACCCCTCACAGGGAGCTGAGTGGTGAGCTGTAACAGCAGGCTGCTCGCCTGTGGCTCCATCTGGGCTCGCCTGCAGACAGTTCACCCATCCGACTCTGTCTTCCCGCTGTAGAGGAGGGAAGAGCTGTGTTTCTCTCGTCGGTGTAAATTTTGGTGGCATGCTTTCCTTTTTAGTTTATTACCTGATTTGAACTGATGGACACATTTTCCTTCAGGCATTTTCTTTGTGGTTGGTGACAGCTTCATGGGAGCTAGGACGGCCTGTGGTTGTAGTTTGCATGTCTTACATGGCAAACACTGATAAAGTCATGATATGTGCACCTGTTACCTGCATGGTGGCAGGGCCATGTCCTTACCCCCATCTCTTGTCCCCAGTTGTCGCCGTGATCCAGAGAGCGCTGACCTATGACGAGAAGCGAGGCGCCTGCAGCGTGGGTTCCAACGTCCGAGACGCTGCCTGCTACGTGTGCTGGGCCTTTGCGCGAGCTTACGATCCAACGGAACTGCGGCCCTTTGTGGCTGAGATCTCCAGGTAAGGCACTGCTCCGACTGTGCCCTGTCCTGGGCCTGGACAGCCTGGGCCTTCCTGAGGAAGGATCATCTGTCATAGGAAGTGCCCTTTTCATGGTGACCAGTTCAGACCAGGAGGGCCTGAGAGGGACGTGGAGTCTGGGTGGGTGCGGGCGGTGGGTGTATGTCAGCAAGCTGGGATCAAGTGACTGCTTTGGACTTGGGATGGGGTGGACATAGGAGCTGAGAGTGAATCTGGTTTCGTTTGTGTGGCTTTTGGCCTGGACACTGCTGAGCTGAGCCTGACTGGGGCCAGCATATGGTCACTGATGACCCCGATTACCAGCACGCTATGCCTTTGAAGCCTTGGTAATTTTTGTGACCTTCTAGATCCATGCTGGAAGTTGGGATCTACCTGGTGCCCCTTGTGCTGGGGGGACATCAGATACATCCCTGGGGCAGTGAAGTCTTATTTTTATTATAGTAAAAATGTATTTAACAAAACTCTCGCCATCTCAACGTTGGTGGCATGTTCGGCTCAGTGATTCTCTTCTCCATGTTAGGTCGCCATCAGCACGGTCATTTCCCAGTGTTCCCAGCACACTTCCCACTGTGTCCATACACAGGGGTGCTCCATTATCTGCCCTCTCATTCCGACATGTTTTGTGCAACACCGTGACAATGCCTGGTAACAGCTTCACTCGGGAGGTTCCTCTCGATGGCGGGGCCCTGCCCCGTTGTGGGTGGACCACTTTCTGTTTGTTCTTCTGTTGATGAACCAGTGCTCTCCGTGACTGGATGAGGTGCTCTGTTCTTGCTCTTGACTCAGCAGCCAGAGGAGGGGCCTGAGTGGGGCACTCAGCTGATGGTGGCCTGCAGGAGGATACACCTCAGAAGTGAGTCATCGCAGGGTTAATAAAGCACTCCTTTATTAACGGGGAAAATCGATTCTGTCAACTGTCTCCCTGCTGCAGCTCCTCCTGAGGCCACCCTCTGAGTCCGCCTGCCCTTGGCGGCTTGCTGGTCACTAGGTTCTGTGTGGTGGACAGAGCGAGTCTCGGGAGCTTAGGAGACCACTGGACACTGTCTGTCTGCTCCTTCCTGTGTGTTCTGTGGGAGGGAGATGCTGTGGGGAGAGTCACTCATTTCTTGGTGTGTGCACAGCTCTGGCTGGAGGGGCAGTCCTGTGGAGTTTTCTCCTGTCCCCCATCACGCTGCAGCACAGCTGTCTGTGTGTCTGTCTCACAGCCTCAGGGAGCTCTGTCCTGTGCCTTGCTTTGTGGCAGTAAATCTGTGTCATTTCTCTTATTGTTATGAGGTCTAACGTTCCCCGTCCTGAGTGGGTGGTGCCGCCAGGTTCCATTCTCTGCTGATGTGGTGAGGGGCGGGCGGTCAGTGGACTCTCCCCGTGGGGGTCCACCCCGCAGCCACTGTCTGGAGCAGAAAAGGACCCTTCACGGAGGCGCCTGACTGCTGAGGTTGTTTCTGGCTTCTCGTGACAACAACCCTGACGGACGACTTGTCAGCCTGGTGGTTTCCCTGGACCTCTCTGCCCTGACTTCCCAGCATGGCTTGACGAGGGTGCCAAGGCCAAGGGATGGCAGAGGTTTGGCCAGGAGCTGGCGGGTTCTGGTGCCTTCAGTCACGAAGGCCTAAAGACCAAGCGAGTTGCACGTCTGAAGAGAGGCCACAGACAGAGCCCCCGTGTGGGCCTCAGGAATGGGGGACAAGACACGTGACCCAGTACACCATGATCCCGGTCTGCCTTCTTGATGGAGTCTTCCAGCTCGTGTACTTGGGAACTTCAGAGCTTATTCTCACCCCGTCTCCAAGGTGGTTTAACGGTGTGGACTAGCTGAGGAGAAGCCTGCTGCTTCAGGCCAGACCTGGACTTAGGGCCCTTCTGATCGTGTGGCTGCTCTCAGGCTGTGTGGCCTGCATGCCAGCCTGCCGGTCTGAGAACTGAGCAGCACCAGAGGCCCTTCTCTGGGCTCCAGTGTGAATGGGGAGTGATTCCAGGTGCTGAAGGATGTATCAGCCCCTCCAACATCTGGAGTAGAGATAGACATTGCTGGTGAGGCTGGCGTTCCCTCCTCGCCACCACTCTGTGGGGGTTCCTGCAGGGCGTGGGGGAACATCTCTGGAGCACTGCAGTGTGAAGGGGCTGTGAGAGAGCAGGATGGTTGACAGGCTCACCAGCAGGGTCCACTGAGGATCCTGGACAGACTTTGTGGCTCTGGTTTAGCTCGAGGGCAGCCCAGGTCAGCATGGCCTTTAGGGGCAAGTGGCCGTCTGAACTTACTGATCTGAGCAGGGTGCGTTCAGAAACCCTTCTGCCTTCAGGACGTCAGAGGAGGAGTCTGGTGTGGACAGCTGGCCAGGCTGTGCAGGAGGGTGGACACCACAGCCCGTGAGGGGCCTGGGCCTCCGTGGAGGGAGGTGGAACCCTCGACCTCCTAGATGTGCCAAACCCCACAGAGCCTCACTGCTGGACACGTTGCTCCTGCTCATGTCCTCTCTGACTTCTCAACCAGGAGTGAGATGGCAAGGCTAACTGCCGACAAGTTGGGTGTGTGTGTCCCCTGGTCCCCTTTGCCTGGCCTACATGCCCCAGGAGCCCACCCAGCTACTCCTTCAGTCCAGTCCGACAGGTTCCCGGCCGGTTCTCCACCCTTCCCGTCTATCCAGACTCCTGGCATCCGTGGGGGCGGGGGGGGGGGGGGGAGGGCAGGGGCAGGTGAGTCACCTGGCAGGTCAGCAGGCGGATGCTGCTGGGGAGCCTCCCACCCCAGGAGCGCTGTGCCCGCCCGCCTGCTGAGTATCGGTTGGGATGTGCCCCTTGGCTCATAATAAATGACCACACTTTAATTGTTACCTTTTAAGCCCATTAATTCTGTCGAATGATACAATCTTGATATCTTTAACTGCTTTCACAGACTCTGAAGGGTACCCTACAGAAGCCTGCAAGTGAGATCAAAATGCAGCTCTCTGTGAAATCCAACCAGCTCATAAAGAGCCAGAAAACCGAGTCGGGGGAGGCTCACGCCTTCAGCCTCCAATACGCGTGTGTCTGAGGGGGGGTGGTTGCGTTGGGGGAGGCTCACGCCTTCAGCCCCCAATACGCGTGTGTCTGAGGGGGGGTGGTTGCGTTGGGGGAGGCTCACGCCTTCAGCTCCCACTACCCGTGTGTCTGAGGGGGCTTCAGGGTTTAGCTGGCCACATTTCTAAGTGACTCCTGAGTTTTTGCTGAAGAGATTTGGGCCAGCTAGCTTCCCTCTCCCCCGTCCGGACCCTTGTAGTCACAGTAGCAGGAGGGCACTGATTGGGGAATCCCTCCTGTTTGGAGCGGGTGCAGTTGAGAATCGAGTGTGGACAGGGAGGCTATGTGACAGAAGCAGTCCATTTCCTCACCTGAAACTCTTTTGTAACCCAGCTCAGGTGACGTCAGTGCGAGCAGAGGGGGCGGCCCTGGCACAACCCTTGTGTGCCCGCCCGGTAGGTTGGTAGGTGCTATAGCAAGATCAGAGTTGGGGGGGGGGCGGTATTCAGATCCTCCCCTTGAGTGTGAGCTGATCCCGCAGAATCAGGACGGCAAGTGCCACACAGTGCCTTGGGTGTGCTCACTGATGCTTCTGAGGGTAGCTAGGTGCAGCCCACTGTGCTCGCTGGCTTAGCCTCTAAAGTTCATGGTTTAGGAAGTGGAGACGCAAAAACATGGTTTGCAGCTTTCAGAGAACACACATAATACATGACTAGCGTGGCGCCTCTTTCTTTTTATCACTGTAAAACGCTATATGTCCCAGGAAGAATGGAGTTGGGTGTGAGGTTGGCTCTTTGCTGGACCTGCTAAAATCAGGTGCCGTGGGCTTGACAAGCCCCAGCATGTGCTCCCTTGATTGGGGCAGAGAGAGGACCTCGTACTGTGGGACACAGCCTTTCCTTCCCTGTTAGGAAATCCTGGGGAGTATCACATAAACCTCCAGCGAAAGCAGACAGGTGCAGGCACCTGGAACACGTTTTGGCACATGCAGACGTTCTCTGGCCTGCTGCCTCTCGGCCTGGCTGCCCCAGCTTCTGAGTGGGAAAGGACTTCTGCTCCTGCAGAGCTCGGGGCTCAGCTTTCGAAGCAAAAGCACAGGCAGAACCTTGGGGTGGGTGGGAGGAGGCACCCTGGGCAAGCACTTTCAGATTGATATTTACCCAATAGCATCAAACCTGTTTGCATTTGAAACACACTGGTATTTCTAGACAAACCAGTTTTGTTTTGAAAGTCTGAAATTAGAGCAGCTTTTCTTTATTTAGTCCAAACCAAAACCTGTTTTAATAAAACAGGCTTTATTGAAAAACCTCTTGTATTCATAGGTGTATATGCACTTAATGCCTTATGTTAACTTAAGCTTCTGCAGTGGCTGAAAGCTGTGGTTTTTAAGTGGCATTCTTATCCTTGTCAACTTAATTCAACGAAGTTTGGTAAGATATGGATGAAGCAGTGTTTGGCCCTGCAGTTCCTGCCATGGCAGGGCCTCGGGCTGAGCCTCTGAGGAGCGGCTGGTGCCGCGTCCCCGGGCCTGCGGTCACTATGTGGTCAGAACACAGCATGTGTGCAGGTCTTGTTCTCCCTGTCATCACACAGATAGACAGGAAGTGCACCCTCTGCAGTGCCACCCCCGTGACTTAAATCCTCTGAAGCATTCTGTGTACCCTTCGTCCAACTTCATCTAAAGTTAACTTTTTAGCTAACGGTGGTCCAGCGGTCAACAGTTATATAGGAGCGTGCTACAATCTTGCTTCCTGAATTGTAGCCTTGACTTGGATCCCCTGCCTTCTCCACTGACCCCGCCCAGGACCCTCCCCGCAGCCCACCAGGTCTCGAGGTCCCAGTGATCTGAGACAATGCCTCAGTCTTGGTACTTCGCATCTCAAGTTAATGCACTCTTTAAAGTGTGGAGTGTATATTCAGAGCAGTTGTGCAGCCGTCTCTGCTGCCCACCTCAGGAGAAATGTCGCCCCCACCCCACCAGCCGTGCTCTGCCTCTGGATTTGGACTTCTGCACTGGGACAGTCCAGGAGTCCTGGTATGGCGCTGCGGGTTAATGCGCTGGACTGCAAGGTTGGTTTGAACCGCAAGCTTGGCAGTTCAAGCTCACCAGCTGCTCCTCGGGAACCCTATACAGGGTCACTATGAGTCAGAACCCACTCCACGGCACTTAACCAACAACAACTGGTAGAGTCCAGGCCAGGTGTCCGCACAGTGTCCCTTGGTTTGTCTCCCTATTCAGGAACGTTAACACAGGAGAGACCTTCTTGAGGCTCCCCAGGGCACTTGGTAAGGTCCCCTTGGTCACTAGTGAGGGTGTGACTGCCCATTAAACAGGAGCCTGTGCAGTGGCCTTGTTCCCCTTGATCCACTCGCCTGCTGAGTTCGGCCTCATCACTCGCTCTGGCTCATTCTGTCTCCCTCACTCCCAGGCCGGCGAACTGCCGCTCTCTTGTCCCTTTCTCCTTGTTTCTG